TCCTTTTCTCGGACTGGGGCCTGTTCATATACGTTCTTGGCAGATGATCCAGAAGTGGTTTGCCATTGCCTTCTTCTGTGTGTGAATGGAGTAATTGTTGGGATGCCACGGAGGAAAACTCCGTGTTGCCTAGACCACGGCCTTGCCCAACACAAGTTATAAATTCGGGCACCGCCGGGAATCGAACCCGAGACCCCCAGGATTACAAGGCCAGCGTTCTGACCGCTAGACCACCGTGGCGGATATAACAAATTTATTCGACGTAAAACCCACATCCCCAATTTAGAACTTGAAGTTCTCACAGCAGTTGGCACGAAGATCAATTTCTTCTGGGTTATAGCGCAGTCTATTAGAATTTTATCAAAGTTTCGGAGGTCCTTAGTACTTCCATCATCAGGGCTATAAGCAGCGTCTTTGTGTAGTGTCAATTTTTTTGAAGAATACGAAAAACATGACAAACGAAACAATAAGACAAAATTAGTATATATTTATTTATTATTTCAGTCTATACACAAACTTAATTTTAATTTTTAAATGTTATTGTTAAAATTAAAATTAAAATTAATAAATTTCCTTCTCTTTCTTCTCGATTCTTCAACGTCCTAACCCACACAGCTGTGCGTTCAGTCTCCGAAAGGCTAACCTAACCTAACCTAACCTAACATAACCTTGGCACGTCCGGTCTTTGTTAACTGCAGCTATTTCGTAAAGTGATTCGAGCCAGAAGATAGTAAACATGATTTATGTTTACTACATGTCATAAGAGTACGATCTGAATCAGGTGTACAAATTATTTGGCACGCGCCGGTAATTAAGTAGGTGATATATATCGATATATTGGATAATCGAAGTCTACAGCAAGAAGTCTGTAGGTTGAAATGATTAAAAAAAAGCACGTTTGATGATACAAAATAAAAGTAACAAGGAGTTAAAACTTTTACATTGGGATATCTCAGTCAGAAAAGTGACTGGATTGTACCTAGACGACTGGGTTTCGATTCTTTGGTAGGGGCCGAATCTGAAAACTCACTCACGTATGTGTCGCGCTCAAGTTCAGAATCGATACACACCAAATCGACCTTAGCGACGCAACATTTGTCCATGCATGGTGCAAATCGACTACTTCTGATCAGTAATATGTGAATAAAAACCGGAATATGTACTCTTTGGAGTACACTGATATTCCAAAGTACACCTAATATGAGTATAATATGACCGTGTGTAACCAACATTCATAGCAATGTGCTTATGTACAGGGAGAACTATATTTTTTATAAAACTCTAGAGCGTCATTTGAACAAAATGTAAAAGAATATACTGAGATTTCAAGTATCCACGGCGACGAGTATGAAGATGGCTGTCTTCTGGGATGTTATGCTATGTAGTCTGATAGAAATGGACAAGCGTTACAGAGGTACTTACTGTCTCTATCAACAGGGCGAGGAGTGATGATAACCCTGATGATGGAGGCAATAAGCACCTCTGAAACTTCGATAAACTTCTATCAGACTACATAGCGTAACATCTCAGAAGATAGCGATCTTCAGAAAAAAAACATATGATGATGTTTGCAAATGCTAACAACAAAAAAGCTACGTCTTTGGAGGCCACGACGTATGAGATGGAAAGATGACATTAAGAACAAATAGTCTTAATGAAAGTGGTTATAAAGTCTGAGGAGAGACTGATACGAGGCGGTGTACGAGCGTATATTGAAACAGCAGTATTCACGAGGAAGTTAGGAGGAGATTAAATTCCGGAAATGCTTGCTACTTCTCGGTTCGAAATATTTTGTCTTCCCGTCTGATTTCTAAGAACCTGAAGATTAAAGTATACAAAAACAATAATCTTGCCTGTTGTTTTATATGGGTGCGAAATATGGTCTCTCACTCAGAGGGAGGAACACAGATTGCAGGTGTTTGAGAATCGGGTGTTGAGGAGGATATTTGGGCCTAGGAGAGAAGACGACCGGGCATGGAGAAAACTGCATAATGATGACCTTAAAAATTTATACTCCTCCCCCAATATTGTCAGGGTGATTAAGTCGAGAAGAATGAGATGGGCTGGGCATGTAGCGCACATGGATGGGACAAGAGGTGTGCACCGGGTATTGGTCGGGAGGCCTGAGGGGAAGAGACCTCTGGGGAGACCTGGACGTAGATGGGAGGATGATTTCAGGCGGGATCTAT